CTGTTAACACCTTGTCCTGGCGCTGCTGGTACTACACAGCTAGCAGCCAGCAGCAGTCACTGACAGAGGTGGAGTGGGGGGGACTTGCTCTTTCAGTCATGAAAGATTTGCTCTTGCCAGCTGCCTGTTCCAGGTTGAAAAACATAGCCATTTCATGGTTTAACTCTGCTGTTTGAAAGAGTGCTCCAATTTTGAAAAATATTTTCAGAAGCATTTTTATCCAACAATTTCAGTTGAGTTAATGGCACCGAGAGACATCCACAATTTATCTAAAAATATCTATGAAAAATAGTGAAGGGGTCACAAACTGATGATAAAAATGGAATACGTATGGCTAGAGCCATATGCTATTTTATTGTCTCAGCATGGGACCTTGTCTTGCAACTGAGGCAGTTTGATATGCTTTTTTGTATAGAACAGCACCATGTCAGGATGCTCCCCTCCAGCATGCTGAACTCCTCCAACAGCTTTGTTGGAGCATTTTTCAGGAAGGCAGGGTGCCACCAAGCAGTTGGTTCCCATGAGCTGTACTCCTGAACACTGTGAAACAGGCTCTCCACAGCCCCATTGCATTTGAAAACTAAAAGCTGCCAGTCAGTAGTATCTCCACAGAGACAAAGATGGGGACAGTGGGGGGGTCTTGGCGCTCCTACTAAGACTGGAGCCAGGGAAAGTTGGTGCATAGCTCAGGGCTGGTACCCCAGATATTTGCAGTGCTGTAACACCACTTTCCCACAGGACAGGACATTTTCTAGCCCACATCCTGCACCAGTGCCTGGAATAATAAGCTAAGAGACTTGAGAATCAGTTCCTTTTTAGTGTCCATTTCCTCCACCTCTTCCTCGCCCCATCTTGCTTTCCTGCGCTTTTCTTTTTCCCCACCAGTTCTGCGGTGCTACTGCTCAAATGAGAACAGAGTGAAGTCAGTGGTCGGGGAAAGTGTTTCTGCACTCCAGGCACCTCTGTTCCAAACTGACCTTTCATAAGTCCCAAAATGGATTTTTTTTTCACAGCTGTACCAGGCTCTAATGCTATGTACTATATTTAGATTACTGGCTCCCAGGCCCAAACTGAGTCATACTCTTACAGTAAAGGCTGACTTGTGAATCCATGGTATCATAGTCTGTAAACTGGTCCAAGACAGTAACATAAACTGAAGCTAAAAGTTACCAATTTCTTTTTCAAAATCAGAATGTATGGCAGTAAACAAATGTGACAGACTTAGGACACCCAAGTTATGTAATGAGAGACTATTTCATACCACAAGAAGATGAGGCAAGAATGAGAAAAGTTAACAGCCACTCTTGTATAGCATGGAGAATACCTGTAAAACCTAGCTTATGATTGAGTAGAAATGTAGCATAAGTATCAAATCAATTTACCATTCTATAGACACTTTCTATTTTGAGAACAGATTCTATTAACTCTAACTAGACCTTTCCTATGTGGACAAGCATCGTAGGCATGGAAACACAACAAGAGTTACCAAAAAGAGCCTTGTCTCCTTCATCTACCATTTCTGAAATTATTTTGAGGACTATTTAGCTATACATCAAAGGCCAACCACAGACTGCCACCCTGTCCTGTTGTGGAGCCACGGAGTTTGGGAGCTCTCATTTGAGAGCTGATCTTTCTGAAATATCTCTGTCTTCTCTTGAATGGGTTTACACCCTTATACCACTCAATAAACCACTCATATTTATTAATGATAATGCCCAGGCATTCTTAATTGATAATTACAGAGAAGTAAAACAAATGCCATCACTTCCCTCTTTCTGAAGCCTCTTACTGCTTCTACCTCAAGATTAACCCTCATGGACATATAGCTCTTGAGTTGTTTGGGTATCCTTTAACTCCTTCCTTCTGGTGAACATTACCTTAATTCAGAAAGCAGGATTCAAAAAAAAATACCAGCCAGAAAAAGCAGCTCCCTTCTACGGAGACAAGCATGTATCCTGCCTGTTTAAAATGCTTCATTATCCTTCTGTCTAATACGTGCAGATTAAACAGCCTCAGGAAAAGATGGTAAAAAATAGAAATGTAAGAACATTTAAATGGAAAATTTTTCTCCTCACTCAAAACATCCAGAAGTGATTTATCTATCTTCAAAATATATTAAAATCTATCTCATTTAATCATGTGTTCATTTGTTTTTAAGCATACTCAAGTGGAGAAAAAGGAGATTCCTAAAGCCAATGAAATTTTCACCCCCAACCCCAAATTCATCACAAAAATATGAAAAATATTACCCAGCCCTTCTCTCAGGATACCTTTTATCAGGGATGACATTTCTAGTCTTTTTTGTACTTCTGCTTAGGTAGCTCTAGCTTCCTTAAGGGACTGGTGGAAGTGCATTTCTTTTCTGATGTCTTCTTGGTTAAATATTCTCTATCATGTGTGATCTCTTCTTTGTGTATAAAAATCAATATTCCACTGAAGATTTATCTTCTTGCTTCCTTTCCCTATGGTAGCATTCCATTTTGATACCTTTTTTGTGTGTTTTGTCTTACTGTTTGGATTATGTTTTGTTTGCCCACATTTTAAAATAAATCAGAGGATCCTAATGTTTTCTCAGTTGCCTGTTTTGGGGCAGGATCACTTACACTTATCTGTATAATTCAATTTTAATTGTGCAGATGTGTAATTTACTCCCAGGCTGGTGCAGGATGAACTAATCAATAGGCTGAAGCAGATTTCTTTTGCAGAACAGCATCAACAGAACAGGTAAAGCCATAGTTGCCAAGAAACAAGTGAAGTAAGGGTTCTCAGTCATACATATGTCTGTGAATATGTTACGTTCATTTGTTTGTTCACTTCAAAAAAGTCACATATGATACATCTCTGCCTTAAATAATGTGC